GGGGGCTATTGATGAGCATGATGTCATGCAGTGTTTAATGAATGAAATAAGTTCAACAAATACTTAACGTGACAGTTCTTCTTCATTTCTTGATTAACCAAAGTACAGAATATCAGCAATATTCAAAAGTTCTCGTTGAATTCAATAAGATTTTCTTTTTCCACGTCGACATGACTTTGTCCTAATTTATACAAACAATATTGGCACTAAATAATTTAAAATTAACATGACGTTTGTTAATTTTCTAAGATAAGAAGGAAAGAAGATACACGAACCTAGACGAATTCATCAAATGAAATCGTGTCTCCCATATTATTAGCGACTAAGGTTAGAAAATAAATGACGATAGAGACATCTCTAACAATATAATTAGCCTCGATAATTAACGCAAGGAATGACGACGTTTATCAGATGGTAATTTTTTATCCTAAATACAGCATACCTTAAAGTAATTAAGTTTCAGACTGTTTACCTTTAAAATGAGTAACAGTTGAATTTATACGTAATTTAAAGGATATGTGATTTAATTTAACACGAATAATATAAAAACAGTAAATAATTGAATTAAAAGAAAATAAAACGACCAAACCAAATGCGATGAAGGATTAAGTCTAACTTTTGAAAGAGATATTCTTAGGATTTCATTCCCTCGCTTGATTTCTAGCTAGTTTCCTTTTGTTTCCCTTTAAATATAAAAAAGAATGACGGCCTTTGTCAAATGGTATTTTTGATAATAAATACAGCACAAGAAAATATGCCTCAAGGTAAACAAGTCTCAGAGTATCTCTGTATATATTGAAAAATATTCAAGAATTGCTTATAACAATACTAGTGAAGGGGTAGCCCGGGCTTTGCCCAGGGCCAATGTGAATAATATTATCATTACATATCGTGTTACCCTTCTGATTATGTGACGAGTATGGCTTACTACTTTTTCGAATTCGTTGTTATTGTTCTTTCCAAGTACGAAAGTGAGATATAAAAAGTAATATTACTGTAAATAAAGTTATTGTGACAATATCAATTGGTACAATTTAGATTGAAATCACTAATTACAAAGAGTCAAGTATTGTAGAGCTGGAGTAATCATCAAAACCTAGCTATGAGTTCTACATATAATTAGAAAAATACTTTTATCCATTTGATTTTAATTATCACAGTATGAACCCCAAACAGTTTAGTTAGTTTAACTATCTAACAATATTCTTTTTCCTTTTTCGTCAAATTTTAGTAAGACAACAAAAAAAATTCGTCTAATAAATATGTATTATTAAAATCTCCTATTTAGTTGTAGGAGTTAGCGTTTATGTTTAATCATGAAAGCTTTAAATATCCAAATTAATTAATGGGTTAGTAAATGATGAACTGAAAAGTTAATGATCCCCACATCTTCCACGTCTACAGTTAATATGCAGACTCCTAACAGAGTTCCCATGTTTTTTGAGATTGGCACGTGTGCTCATATACAAAAATGTGGCTGAAATGCCCGAAAAGACAATAATAACCATGTAAGAGAAGGCAAGCATGTTCGAATGAAAGAGTATTTTTGGGAAAAATAAACAAAAATATCATGATTTTTTGGTCCTCTATTCTCCCTTATTAAGCTTAGCACGGGCCCAACATGTTTGGTATTTTGTTATAATTTTTCAACTGATCTGGTACCAATAGAAATAGTTTTAAACATTGCAAATGAAAATAAGTAACCACAAGAAACAGAGTTCATGTACAACATAGGCATAATAAGGTATTTGCAGTATAATATCTGCAAAAGAAGACATAAAAACACTGTATGCTCTAGTGTTATTTCGATCAACCATAATCAACAATGCCATTGATATCACCTTGATTGTAATACATATTGATACAAGTAATCTCACAAAATATGCGAATCAACACATATGAAGATAGGTGGAAGAAGAGCAAGGGCTTCAATTGTTGAGTTTCTTTTTAATATAGAAAGGTATTAAAAAGAGGGTGAATGCAAATGGAGGGAAATGAAAATTTTGAGTAAAATTTTAAATTTCCCTCTCCTTTTAATGAGACATTGTCCCTCATTGGTAGAGAAAAAGGAGTTTGGTGGGTTTATATACAAATGCACTTCATGTAGCTCTTAAAGAGTTAGGAAGAAGGCAAGCCTCGCGCCGTCGTCGCTCGCTCGGCTACGGCTTCGGCTTCTCGGCTTCTCGGCTTCGGTCAAACGATTGATTGATTAATTTTTTGGACCAAATTTATTTGTTAATAGTAAATATTAACGTAATAATATCCGTGTTTGTAACGGATATGTTCCAATCCGTGGATTTGTGCGTCTCCCACCATTGCCAAATGCTTGCTCCATAATAGCAAGTGATTGCTCCATTAGTTAGCAGCCTGGTGCTCCGTCCACCATGGCCAAGTGCTCCACTAAATGAGTGGCAGCGGGTCCGTGTTTAGCAGCTAACTGCACTATAAATAGATGGTGCAAGCAGCTTGTTGAAGACACACCGAAACAGAATTGAGAGCTATTGATCTTCTCTTCACCGAAAACTCAACGTTGGCTATAATTTGCATTCCTTCCTCTCAGAATTTCCATTCGACTTCTGAGTTTTCCTCCCTTATTATGCATTGTTTTAAACTACAAACAAAGCATCCGTAAGTGTGATTTGCTGCCGAACTTTGTATTCGCTGAAACACTGGGGTTTGAAGTACCGCTACACCAGTGTGTTATTCGTTCTATCCTGGGAGGAAATAATCCATAAACTTGGGTACTAGGAGGGGATTAAGTTCCTTAAGGAAACACTGTGAATTCAGTGGGCTCGAATTAATTTCTGTTTTATTTATATTTACGTTTATAAGCTAACGTTCTAATTTCCAGAATCATTATTTACAAATACAGACATAATAATAATAATATCAATTTCTAGTCTTTCATCTGAGTATTGGTATAATGGATTGGACCGGCTGCACTTAGAAGGAAAAAGACCAAGAAGACAGACAATATTTAGGTCTAACTCAAGGTGTCAAGGGAAGCAACAAAGCATCCATCTGAATTAGAGAACTAAGTACCTTCCTGCAATAAACGGATGGCAAGCTGTAACTGACATATACAAAACTGATGAATGCGTGTATTCACGCCTTATCTTGCTAAACTTGCCATTCTTCCCGGAGAAAATAAATATATAGTATGTGTTTGGTACCCTATCATTTTTCTTGCAGTTTCTTCCGTTCCAGGGACACACTCCTAGCAATATCAGCTTAGCGACTAACACTTTAAAGCTACCTCAGTAAGCGAGTGACCAAACATGTCACTACTTTAGAAATTGAGAATGCTTAAATAGAGGAAAATAAAATATCTTATGCAACAAAGGCACTAAAGAGATCACGATTGTCTTACAATTGAATAATTGCAATTGCGCATTATACCTCCTCTGATTAGACAAATGTGCCTATAAGTGGATAACACAAACACTGTTAAAACATCTTCGAGTGGCAAACAACAACCTGATAACTTAAAGATAAAAAATTAAGGAAAAACAATTAGGTGCTAAATTTTATCAAGCATTTCCTGTAATATGTTCACTAAAGAGGCTTCTACTGATTCTATAATAGTAATATCCCCAAATTTTAATAGTCAAATAATTAAAAATCAAGCATCGACTTAACAAACAAAAGGAAAATGAGATATTTTATAGGAAATTGAAGGAAATACTCATCTTGAAAGGTCTATACTCCGAGGCCACAGTTCTAATATGTTGTGGTATATTACTATGATTCATAAAACATCATTTCATTCAATACAAGAAAGGCTTAAAATATTCATTTCCAAAACCTTGGTTGCCTCTTCGAGAAACTTTCAAATATATATTCAGAATTGCAGTATGGAAATAATTACGCAGTGGAATAATTCAGTCAGGCAAATAAGCAAACACCTTATGGCCATGTATTTACACTATCTATTTAAACAAGAGAGGTCATGTTCTCCCAAATTTTCAGATAGAAAATAATTTCTGAACACGGGGAAAGGGAAGGAAAGGACTGGAAAAATAAAACTCGCCTAATAACAGAGAGGAATATTACACAGCACCAACTCGGAGAAGAACATGAGAAAGTAAAATAAATCATCAAGTAGCTTTAGCGAAAACCGAACAGATGAAAGGAAAGGAAGAAAGAAGATTGAAAATAGCCAAAAGTGCTGACAGATAAATAAACCTGCGGTGTCTACCACATTTTACCAGACCTACATGTGCCGCTCTTTGAAGAACATATCCCCTTGGACAACGGGAAGCTCCTCAACTGGCCCTTAGGACAAATACGTAATTGTTGAAGTATTATTATTGGTTTTTCCGTAAATGCACATGAACCGGAAGCTCCTCCCCATTCTCCCTTACTAGTATACTTCAAAGTAGGGCTGTTCATTCGGATCGGATATCCGAAATCCGAACCGATCCATTCAATTTTGAATTTCGGATTTCGGATTGGATCGGATTTCGGATTATATTTATTAAAATTTTGGATTTCAGATCGGATTTCGGATTGGTATATTTTAATCCAATCCGATCCGAAATCCGAAATTATTAGGACATGTATAAATACTACACTTTAATTTATATCAACCTCCAAGTTATTACCTTTACAATTGCTAGATTTAGCTATATTGGCACCATAGTACTCTCATAATTGCATAAACATGAATTTTTCTTAATGTATTGCCTCTTTTACAAAGAAAATATACATATTAGTTTAACTTTGAAGCATAATAATACTATCTGATATCCGATCCGATCCAAACTTTAAAATCCGATCTGATCCGATATAATTTGGATCGGATTCGGATTGCATTTTCTAGAATCCGAAATCCAAAATTCGAATCTGAAATATGCTAAATCCGATATGATCCGATCCGTGCACAGCCCTACTTCAAAGGGAAAAAGAGCGAAGAGAGATAATAGAAAAAGAAGTATATATAGCATTAACTACGGGAAAGACCAAAGTCCTCTCCATTATTGCACCAATTAAAAGCGTATTATTTTTACCTTTTAGAGTACGTTTCGAACATTTATGCATAACCTTTTCTTCCATATTCTTGATAATAATATATTGCATAGATGCTCTAGATCATATATCGTCGTCTAATATTCTTTACTTGCATAAAACGAACAGTACCATATCCTTGACTTGCATAAAAGTAACAGTGCCATAATAATTCTGGAAAATTACATGAGAAATTCACTCGTTCCTTTTTTGGTTCTTTTGCCTAATTGAAAGAAAAACTTCATAGGTCTCTTCGAGACATCCAATTTAAAAAAGAATGAAAATCTCCGAAAAACATATAAGATTGATTTTTACGAATAGCCATGAGACCAAGAAGAAAAGAAAGAGAGCTTAATGAGCAAATATTTTCCAATTTATATCAAGCAAGCTAGCTCAATTGCGGGGCCTCAAGGGTCTTCTCTAACAACCTTAATTCTGCATCTTGAAATTTGATATGGATTTATGCCCATGCTCACCTATTCTAGCATGACCCTTCTTTTGCACTGGAAACTTCAACATATTTGGAGAACGAAAAAGAACTTATGGGTGTTTGATTTGGAAATTAAATTAAAGGAGCATCGATTGATAGCATCCTTTAGCTTTAATGTAAATTAAAGGAACATGTATCCTTCTGTAGAAGATTCTAAAATATTAGTCAAAATACTTATGAACTGATTCAACCTGTAATAGTTGAGGCAATATGATACAAAGAAATGATATAACCATAATTGTTACACTTCTGGCCCTAAGGTATTGCCGCCAAAAGAAACCAAAATAAGTAAATTAAGTTAGTTTGAGAAAATTGGGAATACTAGAGAGGCTGAATCATCAGTTTCTCATGTTTTGAATTAACGCAATCCATATAGTATGACTTTAGTTCTTTTTTATCACATTATTCTTTTATCATCATTATAAGTCAAGATGAATTATTATCTCATATAGGGCTATTTCTAAATAAACATATATCTACAAATGAAGCTCTTTATGATTTTCATCACGAGTTATAAGTAGGAAGGGATTGAATATTGTAATGATGATGATGGATAAATAACAAATGAAGTTAGAAAATTAGTAAATAAAGAATTATTTAGATTCATTTATTTATAATTTATTCGTTTTGAATCATCTTATATTTTCACTATTATTTGTAGCACAGCCTATATAATTACAATATTTGAGTATTATTCAAAAGTTATTTGATAATTATATGAGTTATTTATATAATTATAATTAAATGTTATTATTGGATAGATAAGACGATAATTATAATTTAGTTAAAACGAATGATTTAACGTGCTCAAATAAATCAGATCAGTAACTAAAAGATTTTAGTTTCCTATTTATTTAGAAAAGGCAAAAGTAAATTATATTCCGTGCTAACACACAGAGGACATAATTTTAAAATTTAAATTTTTTAAAATTTTAATACAGTGACTTGTATGATTCAGCAACACAATATTAAGCAATCCAGCCAAAAACAACTTCAGATAGTTTTTTCAAAGCAACTCATTGGAGATCTATCTTAATTTATTCCGGAGGCTCCAACCAGGGATAAGAACACGAGTGCTCCAAGTTTTTATTATCCAGTTATAAATGTTAGTACCAAACCATGCCCCAATAAGCCTTACCACAATTAGCCACTACCCAATGCATGTTATACAAAAGAAACATGTTTCAAACCTGATTGTGCCCTCTTAGAATAAAGAAACAGATAATAATTGACTTACTCATCCTTCTTACAAAGATAGCACCAGTTTATCACAAAACACAATCTTGCGATTCAAATATTAATGCAGTTTATTAAGTTTTAATACATCATATATATGCCTACTTACTACTGAATATAAACCCTTGAATTCTAATAATCAAGTTCTTTAGTGTATCCTTCGAAGAACCCGAGTTTGACCAGATCTAAAATTTTATTGTCAAATATATCTATCCACATATATAAGTAAAATAAGTGTCATCTTAAAGGACAAATTAAAAGTGAGCATGTACTTACCTCGGATTCCTTCTCTTCATCTACGCCTAGAATAGTATTAAAGTTAAGATCCTAACAAATACAAAAAAATTATTGAGTTCGAAAAAGACTTAAAATAATAGATTTAAGAATATCTGTAACTTAACTACATATTTTTGCTATTGATTGTCCCATGAATATGCACATAGAAATTTAAAAAATACACGAAGAGCAAATTAAAAAATTCAGATTTGAAAATAAAAAAACGTAGAAGCAAACTTGATATATGCTGTAGTATATCACTGAGAAACATATTTGAGGATACATATGTTTGGTGCACAAATTCTTCAATCGAGTTTTGGTACTGATTATCCCATGAATACACTCATGCAAATTAAAAGACAGAATTACCAAAACAATTATAAGACAATAATAGATTTTTAATAACTTTTCATCTTATAGAACCTATTCAATCGAGAAAGTAGCGTCTAAATTGTAATGGTCTGGTTCTTCCAAATATTGCATTGTTGAAATTTTTATAGCCTTGATTCAATTTTTGCAGAAATCATATGGTTTCTTGAATTTTTTATAGCAGTGGAAGATTTGAATTTAAGAACACTATCAATCGGAGAAATAGAAGTTGGGCGGCAGTTTGGTTTTGTGAGTTTCATGTGCGTATGTTTCATGAGTTATGCGTGGTTGAGCAACTGTGTCCATTATCCTTAGATTAGGTTTTGTAGAGAAGATTTAGGGATAGTGGTTTAAAATATGTAACTTCCTTTGTTTTAATTTACAACAGTTTTCTCTTTTTAAAGTGAAAGAGTACGTATATTTTAAAATTAGTTAATGTGTTATAATTACAGAAATATGAAATTTGAAGAAAATAAAGCTGAAATTTTGAATTAAATAAAGCTCTTTAAAAAAAGTTCGGTCTTCATGGTTCAAAGTTAAAGAGTAAAAAATGTATTTTTAAAATGTGCAACTTTTAATTTTTTAATAATAGTGTAAATCAGATTTATTTTTTAAAAGTTAAAGATTATAAAATATATATTTAAAATTAGTTAATTTTTTAAAAATAAAGAAATATTTAATTAAAGAAAAAACAAACAAAGAAACCTGAAATTTGTGGAGGAGTTTTTAATTTTTTCAAAATATTTTATAGTTCCTATTTTCTTGGAGGATTGTCCTAAAGTGCCAGGTAGCATATTGTGATGATGCCACTTGGCGTAATGATAATGCATTTTCTTCTCCTTTTAATTATAGATAGATTGGCAGTTTTTTTTTTAACATATTTATATTTTAAACGTGTCCTTCAATTGTGCCATGTAAAATTACTTATTATTTTTAAAAATTTGAATGTTTTTTTTTAAAAAAATGTGTCCTTTACGTTTTTTTTTTAAAATAAATTTGAACCTCCAAATTATTTGAAGGTTTGTCCTAAAATCGGACACATGTACATTTTCTGTGTTGACACTTGGCACAATAATATGAATTTGCTTCTCCTATTCTATATAGATAGATTATTAATTAAATTAATAGTAGTAAAGTAAAGTAATATAATAGATATTAAATATCCCCATTGGGCATTACTTATCACCACAAAATTCATAACTAGCTTAATGAATGTTGAAGTGTGCAGAGGTTCTGAATTCCTATCTTATTGCTAAAGAATTTGTACGTGTTTGGCTCATAAAAAAGAATCAAGCCCACATGTAAGGGGAGAGTGATTGCGCCTAATTATGCCTTATAAAAAAAACTACACAATCATTGCAAATATAATCTAGTTTACAAGGCCAGAGTTGAATCCCACAGAGAACTAAGGCTTAGCTACAGTTGTTGACTATCATTAAGAAGATAAGCTCGAACAATTCCTAAGTTATAAATATTAAGATTCTTATATCTAACTAACTAAATAATTAAAGCAATAGATTAACAATTAAAGATACTACGGGTTGGAGAAAAGATTAAGGAGGTCTAGAGTTATGATTTCCCCAATTGTCGGAATCATTCCCGCTACGTCTTCTATAATTTCGCTTAAGTATTCTCTACCGATTGTGAGTACTTCGGGTGTCGAAATTCTCTTCCGAGCAACTATCACAATTTACTAAACATATTCTTTCGAACTACGCTAACTGACACTAATTCACCCCTCACTAAGATTGCACCAAGGTTTCATTATTCTTAATCCCACCTTAAACCCTCTGTATTGATTCCTCACATACGTTATGAGTGATTTTTTTCAACAACTACCTAAATATAACTATTTTCCAAGCAATACATACTAAATATGTACAGTTAATTGATGGTCATTCAATCAACATCAATAAACATGTAGTTGAACAAATAAAGAAATCCAACGGCTCAATTATATAAAAACGTAATAAGAATTCATCCTACAAAAGGTTCCATCAAAACCTAGATAACAAATTAGCTATTCATAATAGTATGCAAAACTACAATACTAGAATTCATAACCAATAATGGAAATAAGAAGAAGGAAATGAAAAACTCGTAAAAGAATTTCCGCCTTGCTCCTAGTATGTTCTTGCCTCCTTTGGTCAAATTCCACCTAAAAACAATGTTTAATGACTATTTATATGTATAAAAAAAAGACCTAGACGAAATAATCAAGTCTAAAACCAAAAAGGAGACAAAATAGGCTTTAAAATCCGGAACGGGCAAATACCTCGCTGTAGACCTCGCCTCGCGAGTTCTATCGCGCGCTCCACCTCGCTACAGCACTGGCGTCGCACGCTCTAACGCGAGAAGAATCCCTCGCGTCGCCAGACTCTGCTGTTTCACTACTGAGTTGCTTTGCTGCTTTGTTTACAATTCTGCGGTTTTGCCTAGCTTTTCCATTCTTTACATTAGCTTCACTTCTTTTATCAATTCTTTTGCATTGTTTCTTTTTGTCTTCAATCATTGTCTCATTATATCATTATAATATTTGCAATCAATAAATGATCATGAATCATTCTTGTAATGTATCAAATACACATAAATTTTTTATTTTGCTCTCAATTTCGTCTTCAACTAATAGCTTAAACTTTTAGATGAGATGATCACACACTTTAACATCTGAAAAATGAAAAATTCAAAGTATTTTCTACTATAGTAGTTTTTTAATATATAGCCTTAGAGTTTTAAATCTATACTAATATTCAACGTGACCTTGAAAGAAACAAATTCAAGTGAGACATTAAAATTATTAAAATGGTTGCCATTGTAAATTTTTGTAACAAGATGGACCATTAAGAGTGTGTTTGGTATGAAGAATTTTTTTTTCTAATTTTTTTATATTTGGTTGGCTTAAATGTTTTGGAAAACATTTTTCTTATGAATTCATTTTCCTCCAATAGGAAAAAAATATTTTCTTTATCAAAAGAAGGGAAAACATTTTTCAAAACTCCTTCTCAACCTTCTCCACACTCACCAACCCNTTGAAATTTTACAAGTTCTAAAGTTATGAGGTCGGGGATTTATGTGTTTGGAAATTTAAGAATTTAGAAATTATAAAGTTTACGAGTTCGAAAGTTTAGCGGTTCACAAGTTTATGAAATTTTGTGGGTGTGGAAGGTTGTTGGTTTGAAAGTTTATGGCTTCATGTTTATTGTATCTAAATTATTTATGAATATTCTTGAGAAGTTATTTTCCTTAATTTGCGTACCAAATACTGAAAAATAAATAAGATTACTACTTGTTTTCCAAGAAAATATTTTTCTTGAAAAATATTTTCCACAGAAATATTTTCTGTTATACCAAATACACCCTAAGTCCACCACTTGATCTAATACAAGTCAAAGTGAGTAGACGAAGTTAGGTTGTTTTTGTTAGCTTGCAAGATTACTCTTCTATCAGTATGACTGTATGATCAATAATAAATTAGTCCAATAATATAGTAACTTAGCTAATTAAAAAAATAAAAAAGATCGAACGGGAAAATGAAGTTTCCTTGGTCACTAAGATTATGTAATTTAAGGCAAAGAGCATAAACAAGCAAGGATTTTTTTGAATCTTTAACTGATTTAATCAGATTACTTAACACAATAATGTTTCTCTTATAATATTAAATTATTTGATTTAGTGCAATAACCAAATACAAATAATAGTATGTTTGGCCAAACTTCTAATTAAAATCAGCTTATTTCGAAAAGTTCTTAAAAAAAATAGTTTTGGTGAGAAACTATTTGTATTTGGTTAATTAATTTAAAGAATATTTTTGAGCAGTATTTAGCGTTTGACCAAGTTTTTAAAAAATAAGTTTAAGGGTATTTTTCTCAAAAGTGTTTTTCGAAAAAGTAATTTTGGGGAGAATCAATTTTTTTCTGCTTCCCACGAGCTGATTTTGCTTCTATCTAAAAATACTTTGTTCCTTCTAAAGGCTTGACCAAATACCTAAACTTTAGAAAAATACCACATTTGACCTAAAAAAAAACTTTTGACCAAAAAGATACTTGGCGAATAAACGAAGTAAAAAAGGGATAAAAAGGAATAGGTTCGGTAGGAGATACAATAAATGAATTTTTATCTTCCTATACTACATATGAAATTTTATTACCCTCCCTAATCAAGTTTTAACTTAATTACATGGTCATGTACCAATTATATACAAATTAGTTTTAAATGAGTATCCCTTTATATTAGGAATTGAATAAGAAATCAGTTATTTCACATCCATGTTCTCTCTCTCCCCCCTTTATATTAGGAATTGTATTAAAGTTGTATTATGTTGTAGTTCTTTATTTTTTATTTGAATATTGCATGAAAGTTGAAAAATAGTTGAATAATGTATGAATCTTTGTATGAAACTTGTATTTAAATTATAAATACTATCTTTTTACATAAAGTTGTTGATATGTATCGAAATTGTATTAAGAGAGGAAATTTTGATTGAAATTTCAGAGAGGAAGAAGAACACACCACATACAAAATATATACAAATCTTTTACAAAATACATATAGAAAACATATTGTATAAAATTTGCGTGAAATTGTATTTAAATTATGTGATGTTGTATTTGTAGTTAATTGGGTAAAATGATGTATGAAAGATGTAAATAAGTTATAAATAAGTTGTATACCATATAATTAGTTGTACAAAATTTATTTTTAGTTTATATGTTGTAAATATATCAAATTTGTATCAAATTGAATATTCCAACATTTAACTTGTCTGGTTTAGGTGATATCTATCGTCAATGTCTCTATTGTTTTGGTTTGGCGCTGATGGATAAACACAAATTACTTGTCAATGGGCATTGCATCCAGAACATCACTTCCTGATAGATGCCACTGTATATCAATATAATGAAGTTATAAATAGAATGAGCGCTAAATACAAATAATGGAGTTACGAATATATTACCCTCCCCAGACCTCACTTGTGGGATTACACTGGGTTGTTGTTGTTGTTGTTGTTGTTGTTGTTGGAGTTGCGAATATAAGTTATGGACAACTTTTGAAGTAATGATGGAGTTATTTGATGAGTTAATAATTTGTGTTCTGGTATATACGTTCTTCATCCTCCACAATGTGTCTCCCTCTCTCACCGGGAGAGACGTGATATATATCTTCACAAGAAATGACTGTGGAGAACACGTATGAAACTGTACAAATTATCCCCAACCAACTCTTAAAGCAATGAGATCATAAAATTAATTTAAAGTGGGAATAGAATGGGCGCGCAAATCCAAATTGTTGGCATCACATCTGATAATTAGATTATTTATGCACCGACTCCCTAGTCCCTAGAATAAGAAAGAGGAGAGGAGAAGAGAGAAAAAATAAAAAAAAATGTAACTGAATACCCTAATTTAAAACACTAATAATTGATTTATATATGGAGAGAGGCCGCAATGAATAGGGAAAGAGAAGAGGCGAGGAAAAAGAAAAAAAGTGTAATTGAATCCCTAATTTAAAGCATTAATAATAAATTTTATATAATTTGTAAGTAATTTTTGTTTAGGCGGGTAATATACAAAATTAGAATAATTTTGGTAAATAAGTTTCATAAATATTATATAGAAATGAAAAAATTCCTACAATAAAGTGAATAAACTTACCTCCACCCTCACCCACCCCCACCCCCAAAAAAGATTACTTTATGCTAAGTGCCAGAAGGGGGAAAAGAGGAAGAAATCCATTCAAATTTCAAACTCAAAAAGAGCCCAAATAAGCACCGGGTCGGGCCCGCTTTTACACAAAAGACCACCTTTGTGTCCATAGCTACTTTTTTACTTCACTATTTCTTGAACAGAGCTAAGCTCCTTGTACTAAGATTCACATTCCAAATCGAATCCCAATCAAATTCTGTCAGAAGAAAAATAAAGTGAGACAGACAAAGAGAGCAGAAATGGAAAACGAAACCAATGAAAAACTGGAAATAAAAGGAGTTCCAACACATGAGGGGAAATATGTAGAGTACAATGTACTAGGTAACTTCTTTGAGGTTACATCAAAGTACATCCCTCCTATTCAACCTGTCGGCCGTGGCGCTTACGGCATGGTCTGGTACTTCCTTTCAACCCTTTTTGTTGCCTTTTCATTGTTACACAGAGAAAGAGACGGGTTCAGAATTTAGAGTAAAATGATTTTTGCTAGGGTGTTTATTATGTATATACATTTTTAAATATTGGTTTAGCTTTTTAAAGACCCTTTTCTGTTGTTAGAGTGAAGTTGTGGTGTAAAGTTTAAGTCTTTTTAATGAGATTGAGAAACAAGTGAAAGTTTACTATAGGATTTATGTTAATTGGGATGACTATGGTGAATTTGATTTGATTTGGATTGTATTCTTGTTAGTTTTATTAGGTGGGAAATTGACAATTTGTTGGGTTCCCCTGCAGTTGTGCTACAAATTCGGAGACGAAGGAGGAGGTAGCAATCAAAAAAATTGGGAATGCATTTGAAAATAGAATTGATGCGAAAAGGACCCTTCGCGAGATCAAACTTCTTTCTCACATGGATCATGAAAATGTATTCTCAAATTAATTACCAAGTAGTATAGTTGTTTTATGTTGGAGAATTCATGTCCTTTACCTATGCTACTTTCAGTACTCCCTCAGTCCCATTTTATGTGATGTTGTTTGATTGTGCATGGAGTTTAACAAAGAAAGAAAGAAAGAAAGACTTATAAAATTTGTAGTCTTTAAACAAGTCATAGACAATTGTACCTTTGTAAATCATCCCATTAAAGGTAAAATGGAAACTTTACTAGTTCTAAATGTAGAAATGTGCCATTCCTCTTGTGCCAAGTGCTAATGGAATCTTTATTACTACTTAAATGTAACTATCAAAAATATTTGAGTATACAAGCTTATGTTTTTATTCTATAGTTTCTGAAGTGGAGCTTATAGCTTTGCCTCTAGTGTTCTTTTTTAGTAGAATCTGTAATTTGGTTACAAAATTCGTTGATTTTGATATTGGTATGCTGGTTGTGCAGATCATCAAAATAAAAGATATAGTAAGACCACCAGACAGAGAGGAATTCAATGATGTGTACATTGTGTATGAATTAATGGATACTGATCTGCATCAGATAATACGCTCTTCACAAGCACTGACAGAAGATCACTGCCAAGTATGTATGCCTCTCTGCTTACTCTCATCTTTCATTAAATTTTATATAATGTAGCATTCACTCTGTAACAGTAGCGAAATTCAAATTTTATGTGGATGGCATCTCTTAGTAACTTGTTATATGTGCAATTATGATTGATGCTCGATGAAAAGATCAAATTTGCTGGTTATGCTGATTGCTGATTCTTTGTTTGATGATGTGCTATTAAGTTGCACACTGTCGAATTAAGTAGTTTAGCCTGTCACATTTTCAAGTTTAATAGACTGGTACCTGCATGATTGGAGCTGCTTGAATTAGAAAAGCACTCTCTCCATCCCATGTGTTTTCGACTTATTTGATAGAATAGTGAGAATGAGATAGAAATTGGAAGAATGTGAATATTCACTAGTATACAGCTAATTCCATGCTCCAAATTGTCCTTTTAGGTTTGGAAAAGGCCACAGAAAATGAAAGTTCATTTCATGTTATATGGTGTTTTTAGCAGAAGTTCACTAGTATACAGCTAAACCCATGCTCCAAATTATCCTTTTAAGGTTTGGAAATGGCTCTATGGTATTTTCATAAGAAGCTGTTCAATGAACGACTCCTATGAACGTTGGGGGAAAAGGCAGAGTAATTTTGGCTACATCTGATAGATAATTATCTTTTCACAGGAGACTCGGATTTTTGGGGATATTCAGGTTGAGTGAGGAGGGTTCTGGAGGAGGCAGTTGCTATTCTGTTTCGCATGATTGGTTAGATTAGCATGTCAGCTGTCTCGTCTTGTATTATAGACTTCCTTTGTGAGATTGATAATCCACTCCCTCTCCTTATAGTCACTGTAAACTATCACCTAACATTTCCTTAGGATTTTGGATGTGATATAATTTTTCCTTTGCATTTCTGAAATGAAACGCCACTTTTAACAGTCAGAACTAACCCCTTTCACTTTCATGTCTATTAGCTGATTCGTTTGTGGTGTTTAAGGTGGATCTATTTGGTAACCTCCTGTCTCTGATGCTATCTGTGATTTATGCTTGTTTCCAACACAATTCCACGACGCTTAGTAACACATAGGATAAAATTTGAGAGCACAATCTGTTCCTTCTGAATGCGACTGATTATGTTAGCTTGCATACTGAAGGCTCACACTGGATATTTGACCTAAGTTCAGCTTTCTTTTTTCTTTCTTTTATGTTGTTGGCGATGGCACAACAATCTGTCAGTTATTATACCCTCTGCTGTATACTGGTTATAACCCACAACACAAAATAAAGAACTACTTATTGCCTGACCATGCTTTACCATATTTGTGCTGTCATAATTTATCCAATTCAGTTCAGCCGATTTCGGTTGAATCCATCTTAATTTACTTGTATTGCTTGATACTGAACTTCTCAATATCTCATAACTAGAAGTTGAATGATGGCGGTTTAAATTACTTTAGTCATAATATGATATTCTTCTTCAAATGTCCTCACTTGAACTATTTGAACTGTAATTATTAAATAATTAACTTAACATATTCACACTAGTTTTACATGTATGTGCTAGTTAAAATCATTGAGCCGAGGGTCTATCGGAAACAACCTCTCTACCTTCACAAGGTAGGGGTAAGGTTTGCGTACACACTACCCTCCTCAGACCCCACATGAGATTACACTGGGTTTGTTGTTGTTGTTTGTGCTAGATAAATCATGTTTATTGGCACACTGAAATTCACTTTTGTTTGGCGCAGTCTTCTAACATCCTATTTATGATGTTTTTCAGTACTTTCTCTATCAATTATTACGTGGACTCAAGTATGTACATTCAGCTAATGTCCTCCACCGGGATCTGAAACCTAGCAACTTACTACTCAACGCAAACTGTGACCTCAAGATTTGTGATTTTGGGCTAGCTAGAACCACTTCAGAGGCGGATTTTATGACAGAGTATGTTGTCACCCGATGGTATAGGGCACCGGAGTTACTACTCAATTGTACTGAATATACTGCAGCAATTGATATATGGTCAGTTGGTTGCATTCTGATGGAACTCATAAAGAGAGAACCTCTTTTTCCAGGCAGAGACTATGCTCAGCAATTGGGGCTTATCATTGCGGTATGTCTGCTTTCTTAATAAGTAGTTGTATAATGCCATTTAAGTATTATACTCTTATTAGCAAACACTAATGCTCATCTATAGTAGATCTACTTTATTGTCATTTTTATAGACCAATCATAAAATCCGTTTTTCGCTCTTTTCATAAATAAGCTATTAGGTTCGCCAGAGGATTCTGATCTTGGATTCCTAAGGAGTGATAATGCTAGGAAGTATGTAAAGCATCTCCCTCGAGTTCCAAGACAACCCTTTTCCCAGAAGTTCCCGGATGTGTCCCCTTTAGCTCTTGATCTTGCTGAAAGGATGCTGGTTTTTGATCCAGCTAAACGCATAACTGGTATGCTCATTGGCAACCACAGCATAAAAAAGTACTTTTCTAAACTTGTTGGCTCTTACTTATAAAGTCTTATATTGATTTCTATGTGCATGCAGTTGAGGATGCATTGAATCATCCATTCTTGATAAGTCTCCATGAGATAAACGAGGAACCTGTTTGCGATTCTCCTTTCAACTTTGACTTTGAACAAGCATCTCTAAGCGAGGATGACATAAAGGAGCTCATATGGAACGAGGCTCTAAAGTTTGATCCTAATACAATGAAGTGATTTCATACTATATTTCCTCAATTGCTGGTTTCATCGATGTATTGAGTGTGATTTGGCTTTGGCAGGTTAGCCAATTGTAACATCTGCTTTATTTTTCTTTTAAGCTGAGCTTGGAGAGTTTGGTTTGCCTCCCTTCATACACGGGGTTGTTATAGGGGAGTGCATAATTATTGGATTCATATTCTACTCAAGAATCCTTCCCCCTCAAAATTTTATGTAAAAAGGAAGTCTTGTTCTGTTTACAAACCTGAAACTCTTTGTAAACAGATCATGAGATAGAAAACCAGTTAGTATGAAAAAGAAATTAATTAATTATGCTTTTGCGTATATGTTGTTGTATAAGAAACCGACAATACCAGTGGTGTTGATACTTCAATTTTGATTTGCTCTTTGCCTTGAATTCACATTGATCAGTTCCTTTCTCCCTGCATAAGAACATAATGATTTTTCTATAATTTGTTTATGGGATTAGTGTGTTTGTGTATATGATGCTGCAAATTCTCCCATTGCTTTGGTCCTACTGGTCCAATTCCGTTTAACCTGGAAAAAGAGTTTTTAACATTATGCTCACATTAGTAAATTGATAGTATTCCTTTCGCATCTTCACACAGTTGTTCCTTTTCATGGCAGCCATTGAGCAAATATAACAATCTTTACCAAGTAAAACAAGCTTAAGCACAATTGTTGCAGATTGTTGACACTGTAGAAGAGGCAGTCCACTATATTTAGGATATGGTAAAGATCTCTTGCGACTGGTTTTGTTAGTGCTTTTGACACACATACATGTTTGTGCCGATCCAAATTAACCAATTCTAAATCTTGGATCTACCTATATGACATTACAGCAAAAGCTTGGCCTCTTCCTACGTTGAAAAAGCAATTTGTGCGAGCATTACTGTTATTACCCGTTCAAAGGTGCATGAAAAAATTCAGCACACTTCTGATGAATTTACTACTAAAACTTCGTATAAAGTCGATGGTGAAAGTTCAGTAACAAGAGATTTAAGGCTAGTGGCAAATGATACACACGAGTACTGAACGGAAACCCTCTAGAGCCATATAGGGTGCCCAGAAGTGGCACTAAGTTAGGGCTTGAGATTTTGCTTTGAAGGTCAAATTTCCACCCAATTAAAGGCCCTAATCGATTACCCAGTCCATTAAACTACTAAGTTCACAGTAATCAACGTTTAAACTAATCTAACCTAGAAATCGAACTAATTACGGGAGGAAGAAGAACAAAAGTTAAGAAAAATGGAATTTAAACAAAGAAGAAATGAGTGTAATGTTACCAGACTATGAGATGAAGTGAAGTTAAATAGTGCCAATCAAGCAATTACAATCAAAGAAGAAGAGGAACAATATTTAAAGTCTCTGAGGTTCAATTTTTCGAAAAGGGTAAAAGGAGGCCCTCAGGGTCTATTTATAGAAAAACCCTTGGGGCCCATTCTCACCTACCAGTGCGAACCACACAAAATGGACCGCGGTCTGCACTAAGTTATTATGATCAACTTGGCCAATTATCCCACTGCGGTTCGCATAAAATAGACCGTGGCCATAGTGGTCCACTGCGGACCGCACATAGTGCGGCCGCAGTGGCCAACTTCAGAGACGTGTCACTTTGGCCTTCACCAGTGCGGACCGCATAAAGTGTAGTGCGGTCGCACTAGCAACTTCAGATACTGAACAATTTCTTCATTATGTCTTGCACTGCATCAACACAATCCCTGCAACATCTCGCAACCAGTTAACCCAAAAATCAATCTTATACTACAAAGAAAATCAAAGAAAACAACAAGAAGAAAAACACATAGGTTGCCTCTCAAGAAGTGCCTGATTTAACGTCGCAGCACGACGCAGGTTACCATCACATCATTTGAAGTGAAGAAGTACCGCCACATGGCCGTCATCAATTTTCCCAAGATAATGCTTGACCCTGTGCCCGTTAACTCTGAAGACTTCACCATTTTTATTTTTCAAATCAAGAGCACCAAAAGGGGTCACAAACACAACTTCAAACGGTCCACTCCATTTGGATTTGAGCTTTCCCGGAAAAAGACGTAATCGGGAGTTGAACAAGAGAACTAAATCACCTACGTTGAACTCCTTTCCACGAGCATATTTGTCATGAAGGTACTTCATCTTGTCC